GCCGGTTTTCTTACTCGACCTGAAATGGATTGAAAATTAGGGATGGCTTCCTGACAAGAAACATTGCGTAGCGGGATTTCCGATGACAAAGTAAGCCCCATGAAGCAAACTACCGACTGTGTATTTTTTTATCAATTAACCATTAGTCTAATTCAACAAATATGGCTCCTTGTGATTTACAAGTGGGATGCATGACTATCATTATGTTTCCGGGAGACGGGTGTAAAAACGTGAAGTGGCCACTTCAGATGCACTGATGATGAAACGTTTGCAAACAAATTGTCAAGCTCGGCGAACAGGCGAAATAGAATTCGGTGGGTTGAACAGGGAGGCACCTGCGTGCTCGATTAGCAAAACCAAAACCGGTATGGGTCGAAGGTGAGCGGGTGAGATTGAGCGTAACACAAACAACCAGGCCATCAAGCCAGTCTCACAGAACACCTTCGTCAGCNCGCCATCTATTGCAGACTGGCCACCAAGCCGATCGCGGGACTTCATTTCGGGTTGTTTACACAACACCGAATGGATGGTTGCTAATATTTGCAGAGGCCATAGCAATCAAGCCCTACTGTGTCAGCAGAAGGAGGTCTACATCAATCTGGTATTGCCCCGGCGGTCACGTAAGCGGAAGAATGAAATGATACCATGCTACATTGCCATGCCCTGTGCTACATAAACTATTTTGTTTCTGCAGTAGATGCAACGAAATGATTCCGGAATTAGATCGTGCTCGCTTGCAGTGTTGTGTTCTTTGTTAAAATTCATTTCGGGAAATAATTGTTTCAAGGATATAATGTTAGGGAGCACTTTATTGTTTCCGGGTTACCGCTGTTTTCCTGGAATTTATTTTGCCATTCGATTTGTGTTAATTGGATAGGGTTTCTGCAACAGATCCCACCCATTATGAAGTTCCTGTCTTTGTATATTGTTTACAATATCCTAGAACGTTTAGACGGAGATTACGCTCAACCGAGTGGTTTAGACCACTCGTCTAACAGTTTCTTCGGTTCCATTTTAAGCTTGCCGGAGCCACACATGGGCACTGGGTAATTGTTGGGAACCATCAATTATCGGTGAGATCATAAGTACAACTCTTATCAGATACCTTTTAAAATCGTAACATATTTTCATATTAATGTCTCCTTTTTCTCTTCGTTACTGGAAAACAATATAAATACGGCATTATTTCCAAGTCTCAGCGATGGTTGTGAAACAGCTTTTTGAACAATGGTGGTGGTGGTGGTCCTCGCCTTCGTAACACGGTTTGTATCACCAACACTGAGGTGCTTGGGGCTCTAAATTCCGAAGGCCGAAATTTGCCACCATCAAACAACATTAGTAGTTGATAATTTCACTGTCGTCCAGCTCCATCTACTCCTTCACTTGCTCTGCAGAGCGAGTCACACATTGTGGACGACCGAAGTAACCGAAATCAGCATGTTTAGCACCCACTGTGCAATCAGAAGCGTTTTGTCTATGCATTATCTCTACCATCGTCGGTTGTCAAGTGATTAACTGATTTGAGCGTTATAATTAAAAGAACGTCATAGCCAAATGAGGCTCAATCGAAATGTTGACGCACGACTTTGAAATAGTGTGACGAGATTTTATGTAATCTTAACTAATGTAACTTTTTACTGATTGAGTATTTGGAATCAAAAGAAACTTCATGGAGTGAGGCCACGACTGACAGTCTTGTCTACTAATTGTGGATGCACGGACATCGATCTTCTTAAAATATTGGAGGTCTATTTGTCGGTCTGCAGCTTTTATCCAATTCTTCGTTTTTTTTGTTAAAATCAATTTTCCGGATGCAGGATGCGCGTTCGAGTTGAAGCCGCCTAGGGACACATGGCAGGATAAAACTTCTTTGTCAGTGGTAATGAAAATTATACCTACCCCTACCGTTGTCATTAAGATTCTGATCCAAACTACCTGACCATCAGTGACCTTTGACGTTCATCTTTCTCTGAAGGCGATTTTGACAACAATCCTTTCTGGGCCTCCTGCCCTGGTTTTGGATGCCTTTTTCGACCGCCCAGTTTGAAATGCCTAACCTGTCTAACAGGCATCAGTGTTTTATGCGTGATTCAGACCTAATGATGCTTCACAACGTACTTGAACGTTGTTCGCACTATTCCGAGCCCAAAATATTCAAATTACCAGGTAGCAGTTGTGGATTGAGAGTTTGAAGACCTCGGGTTTTAGGGATGTTTACTTCCTCGACAGTGCTGCTGTCGTATTTTAATACGACAAAACAGCCGTTAGAGTAAGACACACGCTCGGTTGTTCATCATTTAGAGTAGACGAGCGTCCTTAACACCACACATTCTAGCATCCATTCGCCTCTGCCAATGACTGTGGACTAAAGCCCATTAGACAAAGAGAATGATGGATCTTAGCGAATGGTAATCTGAAACCAACGATTAATAATTCACTTTCATTTGAGCGTCTGATTAATAAACGATTAGAAGTATTTAATCATGTGGCATCAGCATGTCGCAGAACGCTAGAATATGCTATAAGTATGTAAGACAAACATGAACTAAAGCTTATAAGAAAAAAGATTTACCCGGCAATGCACCATATCCCGTCTGCTCAGGTCCACTGGGAGCAACTTTGACGGGATAAGGCTTTTGTCGATCTGTCTCGGCATTTGCTCCTTCCAGACTGGATGAACCTCGACCTGGGCCAGATGGGTTACCACAAGGCACATCGTCTCCACTGGATGTCTGATTTGAATCTCTTGAATTGAGTCCCGTTGGTCTATGTGAATTACCCAACGAAACCTCATCCACAGTGGTTAAAGTGGACCGTTCCAACAGTCCAACACGATTTCCATTCAACGCGCAGTTTGGCTGACCTGGACCACAACGGGTTACCTGCGCGTCGGACATAAGACGACAATACATGCCAATGCGACAGCACCTGGAAGTACGACGTCTATGAAGTGAACGGTTGAGGATCAAATAGAACATGCACATTAGTTAGAAATTCATGCACCGTTTAGTTCAAAATTCATCTGGAAGAATCAGTTGTCCATATATTTAAGTAATATTTCCTTAAGTTCCAAATAATCTTTAAAACTCACGAATTCCGTGACCCAACGGAGGAAAAATTGTATCCTCCTCTGTTGAACTAACTTCATTGGCGATTGTTGCATTGGTTGTCTTACCAGACTATCAGACTTTACAACTGCTCAATACAATAGATAAAATAAACCTCACGACGTTTGATGCATGCTCACACAATCTTTTTGCAACGCAACATGTTACGCAAGATAGTGAAGAAGGCCGTTATTGTAAACGTTAAATGACTTTACTATGTCAACCACATGGATTACTGAATTAGTTGACTAATCTAACCAGCTTGCCGTAGCAGCAAAATGACAGTACGACATCTCCAGTTGTTCGCAATGATAGCATCTACTCTCGTTCCTATGTGATAGTTACTAATTTAACTTGGGTCT